TTTTCCCTTGACTCAGAAATCGATTAAAAAAACTCGGGTCTCTCCCACATAGCGCTTAGTGGTAAGGATAGCAAAAAAATATTCAACTTGGTTATAACCCTCTTATTTTAACCCTTACGTATTTGTTCCTAGAACCAGAGAAGTTTCTGGTTTGGCTTCTACCTCATCTTTCAAAGATGGATTCTATAGTTCCGCTGTGTTATATGGACAAAACCCTTGCTTTTGCTCTGCTTTTAATCTACTATCTCATTTCATTACAAGGATTCTTGTTTTTGCCTTGTGAGAAACAGCTAATAATCCTTTCTTATTTACCTTTCCGATGAAATTTGGATTTCTGGATTTTCCCTTCAGTTCATATCTGTAAAAGGAAGAAGTATAAGGTAGGCAAGACTTTCTTCAAAATGACCTTCTACCCATCAATGAGGGCAAGAAGATTCGAATCTGATCATATACACTTCCGTGTTCAGCAGTTGTTCTTAGCTACATCTAGGCCATTCCTTGCTTAATGTGCTGGGAGTTGGATTGTGATGCTCAGAACGTGTCTGCTGAACCAGGGTGTCGCTTTGGGGGTTTGGAAGCCTGTTTGGATCCTCATTTCTGAATCTCAGCTGGACTCGGGGAAAAAGCCCAAGTATTTTGCTGCTCGTATTTGTGGTGTTCTGCAAATGCACGTGCCTGGGACTGTCAGGGCTTTGAGAATTCTTAAATAGCCAAAGTGTCTGTGCAAAACAGCCGAGCAGCGTCTTTCACCTGCTGTCAGATCTGGCCTGAAATTAGGTCTGTGTTGGTAAACAAGGGAGTCTGCTTTTTTGCTTTAGTACGAGCTTTACGCTGCTAGAAGCACATTGAAATTAATGTAGTTAAATCAAGCTCCACCTATGTGAAGCTAGGCATAATATTTATGTTTACAGCATGATGAATATGTTGCAAATGGGTAATGTGATAAACTTGCCCTCTCGTGCAGACTAACATGTAAAATCCCCTTTGTGCTGCGAACATTTCTGTCTTATAGATTTTTAAATGGAGTGGCTGTTAGGTCACTTTCTCCATATGTCAAGCTTTTTATGTCTCCTGTACCTCTTTCTAGGTATCTTTCATTTCAGATTCCTGTTTCTGGTGATCTTGTCACAGTTGCTCTCTTCTTTATTCTGACAGGTAAGCACGCCAAACCAATTTTGTGCAAAAATAACTTTTAAGTTCTTCATGCCTAGCTTATCCTCCTTTTATCCTTTTTTCCCTGTAGAAGTTTCTAATAATTTTTTTTTTTTAAGCCACAGGAATTAATAAAACTGAGGTGGGTGTCAGAAGGTGTAACCTACTGACACAGTGAGAAAGCTGTGGTTGGAGGGGAGCCCGCTGTTCTCTGCTCTTGCTAAAATAAAGTGGGCAACCTACAGTTGTGTGTGTTACTGGATTCTGCTAAGGTATATGCTAATAAATAGGTGGTGAAAAGTTCGTGAAAAAGCTGTTTGAATCTTAACAAAGAAAAGGTTCTCCATTCTAGCTTTGCAATATTGGGTGGATTACAAAAATGATCTCAGAGTAGAAGAGTTTGCACCTTAACCGTAGTGAAGAAGGATGGGCGATCATGTTAACTTTTACCGTCATGCATAACAGCTCTCTTCCTCTTCTTACATAATGCACTTGATTTTAACCTGCTAGTTCATATTTATTTCTTCAACTAATGTTAAAATACTTGTATTAGACATGGGTGTGGGTGTTTTTGCTGAAATTTTTTTTTTTTAGTGAGTTCACTGTTTTATGCAAAACAGTTAAAACTAGAATTATTTCATTGCCTTATAGTCCAGTCATTACAGAATACGTAGAAACTCTAAACTCGGAAATCAGGAAACAAGAACAACAAGTGCAGTGATATAAAATTAGGTTTACTTTGGTAAAGTTTGATACTTCTGTATGATCTGAAAACTAGCAAACTCATTTTATCTGAGATAAGAGAAATTGAAGGTGGGCCTCTCCGTTTCTGGCATTGCTGCTACAAGTGTCTGCATGTGTTAACGCTCATTATGAATGCAGATCAAAGATAGGATAGTGAGTCATAAAAGTATCTTTGGATGAGCCCCAGAAGGGGACTGAAAGTATCAAAATTTTGTACAAAGTGTGGAAGGGCTTGCCATAAAGTAAATGGTGACTTTAAAGCCATAGCGCCATTGTGAACTAAGTGGTTAAATTTGCAGTGGTTGTCTGTGGAAATAGAAAAAGGGAGAGAGAGATTAGAACAAGATTTGTACCTCAAAGGCCAGCACAGTAACAATTTCTAACTTATCAGCCATCAGTTGTTGACTGTTTGCTTCTGTGACTAATGCCAATAGGTATCAAAGATAAATACTAGCGCTAATTAGAAGAGAAAGATAATAATGCAAAAATAGGAGTGTGATTTTGGATTTTAAGAGTTGTAGCTGACAATCTGATGGGCTGATGTGAGTAATTATTTTACTAGCTTGAATGTGCAAATGAGTTTCCAGTTGTAATCACAAGCTTTTCAGGAGTCAAGCAGGTGACATGCTGGTCATTAATCTGTGACATGACCAATAAAATCCATCAGAGCCCAAGCTGTCACTCCCTGGTAAGTGGTGCGAATATTTGAGTAGGCTACCGAATTGAGAAAATGTGGCTTGTGAAAGGAAATATTTTAACTAATTCTTAAGAGCAGGAAAAAAAACCCTAAAGACTCTCAAATTTTAAATTAGTTTCTCAGTGCTACTAAACTATTCATCAGAAATATAAAGACCTCATCAGGATATGGCTGAACTACCTTTCAAACAAGTCTGAAGCATAAAGAAAATAGTTACTCAAAACTAGCTGAAAAGACAGCAACACAGTTTAAAATTTAGGTGTGATAGTGTAAGGCCTTTGCTTACCTTTAAGTTTGCATGCCTTTTAAGATCACGAGCAAGAGTCTTGGTTGTTATTTTTTTTGTTTTTGTTTTTGCCACTCCCATTTATATTCTTGGCAGTCACAACCACTGCAGATGTGAAAAGTAGTTATTCATGACTGAGCGTGCTGTGCTGTTTCATAGAGAGAGCCAGCAGTGACAGTGATGTTTGATATAGTTTGTAAACATTCCTCTACTCTTTACGTGCTTTGAGTAGTTACGGAAATGGAAGTCCCAAGATCCCAGTTCTGTATGCTTTTAATAGTGTTATTAGTGTATTTTATTAGTGTCTTAATAAGAGCTGTATTGCAGAAGGAGGTCTAATGGGCTGGTCCTCCTGCCTGGGCAACAGTGATGCAGCTGTGGCATTGATCAGCCCTGCATAGGTGGGAAGCCCAGCCTGCCAGCAAGAGACAAGCTATAATGGCAGGAAATTCAACTGTCAGGCAAGCTGGTAGCTGTAAGCAGCCCTTGCTAACTTATTTGTTGGGTAGAAAGTTAGCAGACATCATGAAATCTCTTCCAAAACTCTAGAGGGGAGCTGGTGGCTCTCTTGACGCAAGGGAGGGATAGGAAAAAAGTCAAAGCTCTGAAGTAAAAATTAAAGCATATAAAGAAAAAATTAAACTCTGATGTGCTTCCACTACCACACAAAGGGCCAGAAATAGTTACTTTCAATATGTGGCTGAGAAACCGTGCACAGAACAGGGGTTTAGATTTATTAAGACCTGGGGAACATTTTTGAGGTGAGGCAGCTTGTGAAGGCAGGTGTAAAAATACAGCAAGGCAGGCCAAATAATAACCTGTGGGAGAACTTGAGGCAGACGTAAAACCTAATCTGTTTTTAACACTCCTTTCCTTGAAAAGTGTGAATGGAACAAAATATTTTTATGAATTTTATAACTTTTTATTAACGCTGAAGAGGAGGGCTTTTCTCATTCTCTCTGCCTCGTTCATTCCTGCAAGCAGCAGAGCAGACAGTGGGTTCAGTAAATCTCATTAATCCTTTAGGATATGTCCATTAGGTTTACATGATGGGCTTAATTATTTCTTTCTCTGCACAGTGGCATCAAATGGTAAGCAGAGCTGCCTAGATGTTGTTCGTCCCTTATACTGAGGTGCAGGGATAAGTAGCTCTGACAGCATCAATGGCAGCATTAGCAGGTGAGCTTTGCATAGAAATTGTCAAGATTTGCGATACATGTGGAAGTATTTGAACAGCAACATAGAAGGAAGTGAAGTGGAGTGAAAGGTACTTCTCATATGGTTACTCCAGCACCCAGTTTTATAGGAAAATAGAAGTCCTTTCAAGGATTGTGTTCCTGGGTATCACTGCTCTTCATTCCTAGAGAAACTTAATCCCATGTGGGTGGCCATAACAAAGGATCCTGATTGTGAAATCTCGTATGATCAGCTCCTCGATACTTATGGATTATTTACTGAGAACTTTTACTAAGTACTTACATCTGTTAGTTTCTACCAGTATGTCTGGAGTTCAGTAGACACTGGTTTTTTTATTAGGGATATTTTATATCATGATTCAATCAAGGATTTTGTTTTTAAGTGCTTTTATATTCTGTTTGCATTCTTTGATTAGACTACTGTAATTTCCCTGGTTGGAATCTCCAAAGTGCCGTCACAAAATTATAAATGGTAATGAATTCACTTAATCAGACCTTACAGGGTACAATCAACATGAAATCTAGTCAATTACAAATAAATCGGCTTAAAGTATTTCTAGTTTTCCAGCTGCCTCTCATTTTAGGACTTACATTACCTGTGACTGAATTAAAGGCCTGCCTAAACAGGGAGAAACTATACTCTGTAAGGAAATCATTGTAAGTCGTGTAAACAAATCAAGAACTTCTTCTTGTGATACTGAAATTTAACTAAATTTGTGTTTTAAATTAGAGATTGACTTGTTCAGTCAATGATACTTTTAAATTTGATGACCCTATATCTTCTCGGGTAGGTCCACCAGCCAGTATCCACTTGCAAGGCTGGATAAATTTTGTACATATATTTCGCAGCAAGTAAGTATGTAAGATTCCGCTATACTTGCCGACCATATGGTTGCTTAGGTAACTTTCAGGAAAGCTCTGAGTTACAGAACTAAGGCCTAGTTGTAGGTTAATCTTTGGTTGCATCTGAACCTTTACAGCTCTATTTAAGTGCAAAATACAAATGCAAGTGCTGTGTTTTGCCATTGGCTTCCATAAGACTGGGTGTACGCACATCCAGCATGGTTGCCAGTACTGTTTCTAAACTTAGTCCTGACCTTGCCTCTCTTGGTGAATGGCTTGGTCATGGCTTGGCTACGTGCACTAGTAAAATTGTTTTCTGAACCAGTATGACTTTCTTCATATAGACAGTGTATTGTTACAGGAATGCTATGGGACTGTACATGGAAGACAAATGTCTGAGTGCTGTATGTGGGTAGGGAAAATGAAGAAATATTATCCTGTGTTGTTGGCCCATACTTTTAAAAATGCAGAATTACCAAAGGCTGCAGTTTTTTTCCTTAGATGAATGATATATATATTTTTTTTCCTTAGTAAGGATTGCAGAATCTGGTCTGTATTTAAAGCGTATTTATGTATTTGAGAATGTATAGTAACTTTGCATACACGCTGGCAGCTCCAACTGGGATTTATGTACATGAAATTAAGAGAAAATTTGGCCTGCTGTCTAAAAAAATGCAGTTTTGTGTTAGTGAGATTGAAAAGGTTATACAGGACTGGTCTAACTTCTTATAAAAATGATTTTCCTTGGAGGAGCCCAAAATCTGGAGGTCACCATAAGCCATCGCTGCCCTTCTGTTCCATAGGACTATCTCCTGTGCTGTGTTCCGCAGCTGTATCCCAGCTTTTGGAGAAGTGCAGCCTGGTCAGCCTCACCTCCATCGCTGAGAAAACCAGCAAGTGCGTCTTCCTAGATCACGTTTCCTGGCACGTGTAGGAGGTGGTGGTGGGTGGGAACAGTCAGTGTAGATTTACTAAGGGTAAATCACACCTGACCAAGCTGATTGCCTCTGTGATAAAATGACAGGGTTGGTGGAGGGGGTGCCCTGAGGGTCCTGGTGGGCAGTGAGCCGGACGTGGGCCGCAGTGTGCCTGGTAGCGATGGCAGCTGACAGCAGCCGGGGCTGTATTAGTGGGAGCGCAGCCAGTAGATCGAGAGATGGGATTATACTGCTTGACTTGTTAGACCACATCTGGATTACTGAATGCAGTTGTGGACCCCCCAGTACAGGAAAGATGT